GCTTCCTATGAAACTAAATGATATTGTAAAATTTGAAAAATTAAATTCAATATCCATAAATGTTTACGGTTTGGAACTTGTATACATTACCTGTTATTTAAGGTATAACAAAAAAGTGGGGTGGCTGGGGGTGAATCTGTGAAAAAATAAAAATTTTAAAATCAACTGAAAATTGCGTCATATAAAATAAAAATCGACGTGTCCGAGCATTTTTCCATAAAATTCATATTTTTTAAGTTCTAGGGGCTTTTATATATCTCCATTATTCGAGCTAAACTAGCAAAACCCCTTTAAAGATTAGTTTTGGGGGTTGCATAGATTCGATTTTTCCACATTTCATCCCATTTCAAATTGTAAGGTCAAAATTTGTCGCACAGTGCTATTAATGATAACGAAAATTCAACAAAAACATCTAAATATCAGCAGCATAAAGCTTTTAGAGCTGCATATTATTTTAAATGTGATTATGATGATACTTTATAGTTTTATAAAAGCTATCGCGGTTTAGATTGTATCGAGTGGTTTGCAAATAAATTAAAGGAGGTTGCTAAATTTGTTTAATTAAAATTAAAAGGTAACATACCCATGAATGTCGATATTGATTTAAAGAACGTTAAAAAGTGTCATATTTGTAATAAAGATTTTATACAGGGTGATGTAATTGTCAGAGATCATAATCATCAAAACGGACAATTCCGTGGGTTTGCACATCGGGTTTGCAACCTAAATTACAAAAATACATTCATGGTACCAGTTGTATTTCACAATTTAACAAATTATGATAGCCATTTATTAATAAAAGATCTTGCTAACTTCAGTAGAATATCGCTTTTACCAATAAATAAAGAAAGATAGATATCCTTTACTATTGATGATAATGAAACATTCATAAAATTACGTTTTATTGATTCATTTAGGTTTAGATAAATTATCATCTTATTTAACTGAATATCCAATTTTAAGAAAGGAATTTAAAAACTTGTCTAATGATGACTTAATACTTTTACAGCGTAAGGGTGTTTTTCCTTATGATTTTGTAGATTCCGAAGAAAAATTACATTTTCCTTGCCTACCTGAAAAATCAGCTTTTTACAACAAACTTAATGATAGTGATATTTCGGAAAATGATTATGCGCATGCTCAGCATATCTGGCGAGAATTCGGTTGTCAAAATTTAGGTGAATATTCAGATCTTTACTTGAAAACAGATATTTTACTATTAGCTGATGTTTTCGAACAATTTCGCAACAGTTCCTTTAAAACATATACTCAATGCCGTTTACAAATACTAAAAGATGTTGATATGATCTTATTTATTGAAAAAGGAATTCGTGGTGGTGTTAGTCAATGCTGCAATCGCTATTCAGAGCCAAACAACAAATAGGTATATGACTAATTTTAATCCATCAAAACCCTCCAAATATTTACTCTATTTCGATGTAAATGCTCTTTACTCCTGGGGAATGTCTCAATATTTACCATATGATGGGTTTGAGTGGGTTAAAAATCATGAAAATTTTGATGATTTTAATGTATCAGATAATTCACCTGTTGGATACTTTTTAGAAGTTGACTTGGAATATCCGCAGCATTTACATGATCTACACAAGGACTTACCCTTTTGTCCAGAAAATCAAAGACCACAAAATTCAAAATTATCTAAACTAATGACCACCCTAACTAACAAATCTAAATATATTATTTACTATCGTAATTTAAAACAAGCTCTTTCACACGGATTAATATTAACTAAAATACATCGTGTTTTAAAATATAAATAATCACCCTGGTTAAAGCCTTATATAGAATTAAATACAAATTTACGACAAAATGCAAAAAATGATTTTGAAATCTATTCAAATTCAGCCATTGGCAAGCCGATGGAAAACATTAGAAAGCATAGAATTGTTAAATTAGTTACTAGATGAACTAGAACTAGAACTATTTTTAATGAAAATCTTATTGCCGTGGAACTTAGTAAAACTAATTTATGTTTTAACAAACCTTTATACATAGGGATGGCAATTCTCGATATATCGAAAACATGTGTATATGATTTTCACTATGATTTTATTTTATCTAAATTCAACAACACCAAATTATTATACATGGATACTGATAGTTTGGTCTATGAATTTAACTGTAATGATGCATACGGTGAAGTTATTCGTGAGAATATACATAGATTTGATACGAGTGATTATCCAAAAAATAATCAGTGGAATATTCCTTTGATAAATAAAAAAATACCGGGACTGATGAAAGATTAATTAAATGGTAAGATTATGTCACATTTTGTTGGTTTGCGCTCCAAAATGTATACTTTTAAATTTGAGGGTGAAAAATGTGTTAAAAAATCTAAAGGTGTTAAAAATACTATTGTTAAAAATGGAATAACATTTCAAGACTATTTCGATTGTTTAAATACAAAAACCGATAAAATTATAAGTCAAAATTCAGTTAGGTCTATTACCCATAATGCATTAAACAACAAAAAATTGGATTGAGCTCCTTTGATGATAAAAGATATCTTTTAGAAAACAGTACACATGATTAGGGCTGGGAGAAGATATCGATATATCGATTAAAATATCGATATATCGACTACTTTTTTAACCTAAGACAAATATCGATATATCGATTATTCGATATATCGACTATTCGATATATCAAATAATATCGAATAATCGATATATTGAATAGTCGATATATCGAATAATTGATATATCGAATAGTCGATATATCAAATAGTCGATATATCGAATAATCGATATATCGATTATTCGATATATCGACTATTTGATATATTTGATCTGCTATACGGGGTTTCGAAAATTTGTTTCCAGTTAGGTATAAGATGTTTGATTCTAGCGCGCATTTGGATAAAAATTTATATTTCACAACCGTTGAAGTTGGCGACTTAATTTTTGTTTTAAAAACTGTGTCAATGTTCTGACTACATTTGACTCGATATATATGTATAGAAATTTTCAATAATTCACATAGCTCTATCTTGCATGATCTGCTCGCGCCGTCAGTGGGCGGACATTTTAAGTACATTTTTGTACTTAAAACATCAATGGAGATGGCCGTTATTAAAACTAACATAAAACTTCAATGAATTATTTTCCTTGGAAATAGCCGTTTTTGTTGGGACATAATTTTGCACTAATATACTACGTAATATTTCGATTTTATTGGTGAAATACCTCATTTTTTTATAAATTGGAGATGGCCGCTTTTGAAACTAGACAACTCATGTAGTCAAAAGTTTTGACTTTAAACATTGACAAAGTTTAAAAAAAAAAATAAGTCGCTAACTTCAACGGTTGTAGAAATATGAATTTTTATCCAAATGCGCGCTAGAATACATATACCCACATAACTGGACAAATTTTTAAATGCAAAAACGAAAAATCCTAAACTTGATTCAACTACCTAAACCCTGTACAGCATGCGCCCCGCCCACTGACGGCGCGAGCAGATCATGCAAGACAAAGAAAGCACGTCGACACGGTTTCGAATATCCGAGCTACTGTAACAAGTTCTATGCTTTACAGTTAAAAACAAAGTCATTGGCAAAAGCAGTAGCCGTTGCTCAATCGTTTTTATTTAACTAGCTGCGTTGTTATTTTAAAAATGAGTTCTAAGAAACGTAATGTTGTTTGGAGCTTTTTTAAACACAAATTTGGTTCAAAATGTAATATTTGTAATAAGTTGGTTCTAACCAAAGGAAATACATCAAATCTTCATACACATTTAAGAACCAAACACCCACTTCAAAATGTACAAATTAAGGGACCACAACCATCCTTTATGGCAGAGGATACATCCGATTCTGAAACCGAAATTTGTAGGTAAATAAAACGTTACAAATTATTCTTAAAAATTTATACTCGTAATGAATAAATCATAAAAATTATATTAAAATTGATTTAAAATGAAGTATGTATTGTTTACAATATTTTTCATTTTAAATACAGTATGTTTATTTTAAATATAGATATAGTTAAAACTAATACATTATATTTTGAAGTCAAATTTATTAATTTATTTTCTCCATAAATTTGGAGTAGGAAAAGCACCGCATTGTCGGAAAGCCATGCGGTACTTCCCATGCTTTCTAAATTCTAGGGTATTCTATTCCTTATTTAAATGTCAGTTCATTTTTTTATAAATATATGTGAAATATTACTACATATTTGAATGTTTTAATAATTTTTTATAATATAAAAATTTAGTTATTAACAAATAGACCGAGTTTTATACCACATATTATTTATGGATATAAAATATCATTGTTTAGATAAGGGTAAAATGCTATAGGAATACTTTTTTAATTCTTACACCATTAACCATATAAAAATATAAATACTTTAAGGTATTTTTTATTAAATGTAAAACTAAATAATTATTATCTACTATAAAAAATTTAATAGAGGCTTTTCTGCCATTATGAAATATTTCTGGTATATAATAGGTGGTATAGAATGACATAAAATATTTATATTAAATTACAGACCTGGCCCTTCAAGTTTAAATGATTCTACCGATGAATTCATAGCTCAATTGACCCCCGATGTTATCATTGTGCCCGAATCTGAACAATCGACCAAATTTTCCGAAGATATGCAATCCAGTTCTACTATGCAACCCTCAATTAAAAACTATGTTGTAAATTCAAAACAATCTGGTAAAATTAAGAATGCAATTACTTATTTCATTGCAGTTGGCTTGCAACCATACAGTATTGTGGAAAATAAGGGATTTAGGCACCTAATAAAAACACTAAATCCTAGTTATAATGTTCCCTCTAGAAAAACTTTTTCAGAAGTAAAAATTCCCCTTTTATACAATGAAACCGTTAATAATTTAAAAGCAGAACAAAAATGTAGCAGCAATGTCACTTACATCTGCTGCTACAAAGCCATTTGTCTCGCTGACATCACATTTTATAAATAAAAACTGGGAATTACAATCCTTGCCTTAATTGTCGTGAAATGACAGAAGATCATACAGCAGATAATCTGGCTAATGTGATTAAAGATCTATTGCAAGAGTGGAATATTGAAAATGACAAAATATCGTCATTTTCCACAGATTCAGGTGCAAATATTGTTAAATGCATTGAATTATTAAATATACCAAGAGTAAGTTGCATTGGACATACCATTAATACTGCAGTGTCTAGTGCCTTGGAAATGGAAGAGTTTCAAAATTGCATAAATAAAATTCAAAATGTCTTTGTTCATTCTTGGCAAATGCAGAGAGAGCTTTCAAGTTATCAGAGACAATTTAACTTACCTAACAAAAAAATTCCTTCCTATTCGAAAACTAGATGGTGGTCTATGTTAAGGTTAATGGAGGTAATTTCTGAACAGCACTCTGCCCTTCTTGTTATATCCAAAGTCTCTGATATTCTTGCTGGTGAAAAATATATAACGGCATCTACGATATTACCACTTTATAGAAATATTAAATCTTCACTAACCGAAAATTCTGATGAAATTGAAGATCTCGACTTAAGGGAAATTAAATATAAGTTTGAAAGAAAATTAGTAAAGTATTTAGAAGATCGATATGTATTAAAAAATGAAACATTTATATATTTGCAAAAATGTAGTTTAATGGATCCAAGATTTAAAAATATAGAAATTTCTGAACAGATCAAAAATGATATTACCTCTGAACTTACTAATGTTCCAATTAATGAAGATTCTTTGGTTTCAAAAAACATACTGGTGGTTTGGGAATGATTTTTAAAAATAATACCACTATAAATGAAACTCCTGAGAACGATGAATTACAGAGATACATAAATATACCACTTTGAAGATGATCCACTAGCATGGTGGAAAGCCAACGAAAAACAATTTCGCAGATTATCGGTGATCGCTAAAAGGTACCTATGCACCCAGGCCACAAGTGTTGCTTCTGAACGGGTGTTTAGTAAAGGAGGACTGACAGTAACTGATCTACGTACATCATTAACTGGGGAGCATTTGGAGCAACTTATCTTTTTATCGATGAATAAAAAATATATTTGTAAATAATACTTACAATAAATTATAATGTCACAAATTAAAAAATATATAGTTTAATTTATTATTTTTTAAATAATATTGATATAAAATAATCCACACTGAGCTTTGCTTTTATACAGATCTACATAAAATCAATTTCATTAAATATAGGTAGGGACTAGGGCTGGAAGAAAATATCGATATATCGATTAAAATATCGATATATCGATTAAAATATCGATATATCGACTACTTTTTTAACCTAAGAAAATATCGATATATCGAATAGTCGATATTTCGAATAGTCGATATATCGAATAATCGATATATCGAATAGTCGATATATCGATATATTCGATATATCGAATAGTCGATATATCGAATAGTCGATATATCGATATATTCGATATATCGATTATTCGATATATCGACTATTCGATATATCGACTATTCGATATATCGACTATTCGATAAATCGAATATATCGATATATTATTAATATCGATAATATCGATATTTTTTTCAATATCGCACACCCCTACACATGATACACTACCTTGGGGACATTATAGTATTAATCATAAGTAAATAACAATTTTTTAAGCATTATATCATGTATAAATTATTTAATTTATTATAATTCCTGTATGTTTTGCTTATCTGCTGTTATCCATAATTTTAGTACTAGTTTTTGTTGATTGTGTTGTAAAATTATATATATATGTAGCATCTGAATTTTCCCAGGCTCTGTGAGAATGTTTAGATTTAAAGACTTTTATTTATGTAGGTTAAAATTAGGCGTCAAGTGTTTAAGTTCAATACGTTGTTTTCGAACGACCGCAAGGGTCTAGGACTGATAATATGTGTGTGAAAGTGTAGATAACGTAAAAGACTAAAATAGATGCGTGGGAATGTGAAGCAACCCCAAAGATTTGTAATAGTACCTAAGTCAGATTTAACGCGACCGTCGGTGTATTAAGACGTATTATATTTACTTTTAGTTTCATTTGTTGTTTAACTTTATATTTTTAATAAACGACTATTTTTAATTTAAAGTTTACGGACTTCTTATTCTTAAAATAATCTAGCAACTAAATCCCTACAAATTTTGGGGGCTCAACCGGGATTGATTTAGCCAATCTACACTTAAGTGGATTTAGCAACGGTTATTCGCGAGTGAGAAGTTGAAAAGTGTAATAAACAAGTGAAACATGGAATACGACAAAAATGAAGGGTTAGTAGACATCGAAGACGAACAAGTGCTTCGCATGACAGTTCCTGAGCTCAAAGAAGAGCTAAGACGACGTCAACTACGAGTGTCGGGAAGAAAGCTAGAGCTGGTGGATGGCCTTATGGATGCGCTAACAATAGTAAGAAATCACGGGGTTCGAGAAAACGAACCAGAAGATGACGGTCACAACGACGACGAAGACGACGAAGAAGAAGACGACGCCGAAGACGACGGCGAAGACGACGGGCAACACGACGACGAATTGGCGGAGCGGGCGGAGAGCATTCAGCGCAACGCCCATTACGACGAAGAAGATGAAGAAAAGTTAACGCCTAATGTCCGCAACAGGTCACGCGAAAGGCCGTGCGTGCAATTAACCTTTAGGGACGTTGAAGAATCCCTCGAGAAATTCAGTGGAGACGACCAGGCTGATGTGCGACGGTGGATCGAAGGATATGGCCGAAATGTGCATATGGACCGAAGTACAAAAGGTGGCATACGCAAAAAGATTATTAACAGGATCAGCCAGACTATTCGTTATTTACGAAAGGTGTGCGAAGTCGTGGAATCGGCTGAAAAGAGCGCTAAGAGATGAATTTGACGACCGAGTAGATAGTCATCGAATTCACGCAAAGTTGCAAGAAAGAAAAAAAAAGACGACCGAAACATACCAGGAGTACGTCTACAAAATGCTGGAAATTGCGGCACCGGCAAAGGTCGAAAAGTCGTCCGTAATTCAGTACATAATAGAAGGAATCGCAGACGATGCGGTTAACAAGTCTATTTTATACGGAGCTAAGGCGATAAAGCAACTGAAAGAGAGATTTTTGCAATATGAAGGTATGAAAAGAGAAATGAAAAACAAAGCGAAAGTTGCAGAACGGAGAGACGACAGTAAAGGAACCCAAAAAAAGACGGCAGTGTCAACGACAGCTGCGGCAGCGACAAAAACGAGGCGGTGCTTTAATTGTGGTGATAAAAATCACGTAAGTGCAGACTGCCCAGTGAAGGACAAGGGTGTCAAGTGTTTTAAATGCAACGAACATGGACACAAAGCAACAGTTTGTCCCACAAAAGCAAAAGAAGCAAATCTTGTGTCGCGACCAGGAGATAAAAAATACATGAAAGACGTAGTGATAGGGGGTCAAAAGTTTACGGCGCTTGTAGATACAGGCAGCGATCTTACTTTTATGAGGACAGACGAATATGTCAAAATTGGATCACCTGAGCTGCTAAACCGCAAGATTAAATTCGAGGGACTTGGCTCTATCGGTAATGAAACGATGGGTGAATTTTCCGCAAGAGTTATGGTCGATGGGGAAGAATACCCTATTACGTTTCATGTAGTTAGTAGTACAATTTTAAAACGAGGCCTATTGTTAGAAACAGACTTTTTAAACAAGGTGGAATTAAGAGTAAAAAGAGGAAACGTTACTTTCGCGAAGTTAGAAGTTAATGATAATCCAGATGTGCCGGAAATATATAATATTAACATAGTAGACGTAACAAATGTGGATATGTCACAGATTAAAGAACCGAGTGATCGCGAAAGACTAAAACAATTAATTAACACTTATAAGCCCGAGAAAACGTGTAGCGTCGGGATTCAAACGAAAATTATTGTGAAAGACGATATTCCAGTGGCTGCCAGACCGAGAAGACTGTCACCAGCAGAAAGAGACGAAGTTGAAATTGTTATTCAGGATTGGCTGGACAATGGCATAATTCGACCTTCAACCTCGGAATATGCGAGTCCAATAGTCCTTGTTAAAAAGAAAAATGGTACGACAAGAGTATGTGTGGACTACAGGGCACTTAATAAGAAAATTGAACGATTGCAGTTCCCGCTGCCAATGATAGAGGATCAAATAGATTCATTACAAGGTGCAGTAATATTTACGACGATCGACCTGGAAAATGGTTTTTTCCATGTGCCAGTCGAAGAACGAAGTCAAAAATACACGGCTTTTGTAACGCCGACCGGTCAGTACGAATTTTTAAAGACACCGTTTGGACTAAGTGTTTCGCCGGCATATTTTCAAAAGTTTATAAATGCGGTGTTTAAGGATCTAATACAACGTAAGATTGTAGTGACTTATATCGACGATGTGATAATACCCGCAAATAATAACAAAGAAGCAATCGAAAGACTTAAAGTAGTGTTAGAAGTCGCGGCAAAACACGGGTTAAAAATTAATTGAAGTAAGTGTCAATTTTTACGAAAGGAAATTGAATATCTAGGTCATATTGTGAGTAACAATACAGTGCGGCCGTCAGAAATCAAGACAAATGTTAAGACAGTACAAAGTTTCCTGGAGTTGACAGGATATTTTCGTAAATTTATACCACGGTATTCTTTAATAGCACGACCTCTCACAGATTTATTAAAGAAGGACTCTAAATTTAAATTTGAAGTGCGTGAAGTGGAAGCCTTTGAAACTTTAAAGACAGCGCTAACTAACGGGTCAGTTTTACGGTTATATCGTGTGGGTGCTGATACGGAGCTTCATGCGGATGCGTCGCGACGCGGTTACGGAGTGATATTAATGCAACGCGACAGTGTCGACAGACAATTTCACCCGATTTATTATGCGAGTGGTAAAACGACGAGCGCTGAAGAAAAATACTCTAGTTACGAATTAGAAGTGTTGGCTATTGTGAAGGCGTTAAAAAAGTTTAGGGTTTACCTGCTAGGAATTTCCTTTAAGATATATACGGATTGTCAAGCGTTTACAATGACTATAAAAAAGAAAGACTTGTGTGTGCGGGTAGCGCGATGGGCGTTATTGTTAGAAGAGTTTAACTATGAAGTAATTCATAGACCGGGCAACAACATGAAGCATGTGGATGCACTAAGTCGTAATCCGTTACCAAGTGTTTTACTAATAAGTGATAA